AATTCTTGGAGTGGCCCCCCGTAAAAAAATATTTCCCACCCTTGCTCTAGCTCATATAGACAAAGTGCAGAATTTTTTTCTTACCCCCCAACACCATTATCACCACAAACTGAACATAGCAGTGGGCATTAGAGTAGATTTTTGTCACTCATCTCCAATGGGATCGGTGGCTTCATGGTACTCCACTCAGCACCATCCCTTTCAACACCCCCACAATTTCCATAGTTTAACCACCCATGGCCATATCCACTGCAACAATTTCAACCTCAGTGGCCTCTCTTGTAGCCATGGCACCATATCATCCCCACTCCTCCCATTGCCACCGCTTATGAAATACACAAGCCTCTACACCAGTGCATACAGCTACACGATCTCCGGCTACCACAGTACATTCATCACCTTCTTATCCCCCTCCTTCAGTAATAACCCAGGCAGATCCAGCACATGATGATGAGAACTTACCTCAATCTGATTCAGAGAGCTCTTCACAGGTCCAGCAGTCTTCAGCTTCTCCAGACGAGGCAGTTTTTCAAGAATCATTTTTTCCACCAGCAGATGACCTGAAACAATTCCAATAATTATTCAAATGAGTGGCTCAGTCTCAGGGCATTCCACTACAAGTAGTACAAGAGAAACAATACAAACTACTCAAAATACTCCAGCTGGCTATATCTTCCAAGATCGCATTACCTATCAATGAGGCTACCATGGAGCCATCATATGTATTCTGGCAGATACCATCCTCTATCCCGCCCACCAACCAGACGCAGATATGCCCCATACTAAAGACCAACAGACTTGAACTATCACAGGCAACAGCAGAGGCCATATGACAACAGGCCCAAGCAACATCCCAATAGAAGGAGAGCTCAACACAACCAGTCCTCTAATACTCAACCCACTTCAAACAAACAGCAGATTTGAAATTTTGATCAGGGGTCTGAGTGACCACCCCAATGATCCAGTGTATCCCCAGACAACTTTCCATCACCATCTGAGATCCTTTTACCAACAATGGGCTTTTATTCCTATGGACAAATGGGTTATCAAAATCATCAAATGGGGCTACACAATCTCTTTTTTGTCTATACCCCCTACCCAACCTCCTTCCTCGTCCCTCTTCAGGAACCCCTCTCACGAGCCCCTGTTAGAAGCAGAGGTACAAAAGCTGCTCAGCCTAGGGGCAATAGAACCAGTTCCCACAGAATATCAGGAAAGAGGGTTCTATTCCAACTGTTTTACAACTACCTGTTTTCTTGGCAGTTAGAGGCCAATTTTAGATCTCAGAAAGCTCAACAAGATTGTCCACAACAGCAAATTCAGAATGGTGACCCTTACAACTATTATACCAGCACTGAACAAAGGGGACTGGTTCTTAGCCCTTTGACCTTCAAGATGCATATTTTTATATAACCATACATCCTGCCTACAGGAGTTCTCAGGTTCGTGGTAGGACAAGAACATTGCCAATATCGAGTCCTTCTTTTTAGTCTGTCCTCTTGAGTATTTTCTAAGACTTTAGCCATGGTCACAGACTTCCTCAGAAGGCAGAGCATCACTATTTTCCCCTACCATGACGACTGTCCAATCAAGGGCCCATATGTCAACAAACAATAACCATGACAAACACTACCAGAGATTGCTTCTCCCATCTGGGCCTCCTTATAAATATCCAGAAATCTACCCTACAGCCTACCCAAAAGATAGCCAAAGCCTACTTCCCACTGCAACAATTCCAAACATTATGGGTTTGTCTAAGCTAAATGGCTGCATTGACAGAGCCATGTAGATGAGTTTACTAGACATAGCAAAATGAAGCGTCAATTTAAATAATCTCGCTTCATTTACACATCGCGGTGGCCATTTTGATATAAATGACATCCCCCCTTGTTGGTTCAGCAACTACTTGATGAAGGAATTCATCAGCAGTCACGTCTAGGAAAATCTGAGCCCTATTATTATTACAGTACGGCTGTGTCTAGACTGGCAAGTTTTTCCGCAAAAGCAGCTGCTTCCCCTTTATCTATGGGACTAGCCACTCTTCTCTTCTTTCTTACCCTTCCATCTTCATTATCTACCTGCTGTACCCCTTCTACGTTTTCCAGCTCCAAACAAGATCTGCTCTGACCAGGTCGCAGTAATTCTGATAGCTCCCTACTGGCCAAGACAACCTTTGTTCCCTTACTTACATCACCTATCAATAAGTCAATCGATTCCATGAGTCCCCACTTGCTCTCCTAACACTGGGGCAAGACTTACCACCTGAACATCAAAACCCTGAAAATCACAGCATGGGTTCTCCATGGTTCCAAAATGAAGAACTTACCTACTCAGAGAGAGTTAAGCAGGTCCTACTAAATAGTTGATGTTCCTCCACAAGATGCACCTACCAAAACAAATGGAAATGCTTTCAGGAGTTACCACCAAATACCTCTCCCATACCTATCAAATTAGAGTACTTGATGGATCTCAGTGATACAGGCCTCTCCATCTCTTTGCTATCACAGCTTTCCACGAACCAGTCAACAATCTCTCACGCTTTGCACACCCAATGACGAAGCACTTCTTAACAGGCTTGTGGAAAATGCGTCCAAATTTACGCCTGCCTGTACCACTTTGGGACCTAAATCTCATAGGGTATGTCTACACTGAATTCCTCTCTCAAGAGAGGAATGCAAATGCAGACGAATGAAATTGCAAATGAAGTGTGGATTTGAATTTCCTGTGCTTCGTTTGCATAATCGCATCCGGGAGCTATTTCAAAATACCCTATTTCGAAAAAAGAAACTCTGTCTAGCTGCAGTTATTTTGAAAGAAAAACCTTCTTTTGAAATTATCCTTAAACCACAAGGGAACAGCCATCTCAGAGCAATGCATTTCCAAGTGGATTGCAAGCTGCATATATATGGCTTACCAGCTTTGTGGAAAAGAGCCACCACAGATTATTAGGGCACGCTCCACACATGTGATGGGCACAGCAACTTCTTTCCTACATAATGTGCCTCTAGCGGACATTTGGAGAGCAGTGACTTGGTCTTCCCATCATACTTTTGCACAACATTATGCCCTACAGAAAGGACCCATACCTACCACCACTCTCGCAGATACAGTCCTTGCTTCTTCACATAAATGACTCCAACACCCACTGCTGTATGGCAGGTACTACTACTTAGTCACCTGAGTGGAGCACCCACAGGGACACCACTTGAAGGAGAAGAAGTTACTCACCCTGTGCAGTAACGTTGGTTCTTTGAGATGTGTGTCCCTGTGGGTGCTCCATTGCCCTTCCTTCCTCCCCTCTACTTGGAGTCCTTTATTGGATTTCCAGTAGAAAAAGGAGAGAGGGAGGCTCGCATCAGGTGCACGCCTAACAGACAAAATAGCACGAGACAGCGACTGTGCAGCGTGAGAAGGCACTGCTAGGCAAAATCTCCAATCATCTCTAACCAGAGAGGATGCACCGAGACCTGAGTGGAGCACCCACAGGGACACACATCTCTAAGAACCATCATTACTGTACAAGGTGAGTAACTTCTTCATCTTCTTACGTTATGGGCCCCCAACTACAATGTATTGACCCCATATCACCTGTTCTTGTAGGGCACATAGGAAGAGAAGCAGGAGCTGCTGACATTCTAGAGCACCTACCTCCCACAGTAACTAGGAAGCCTAGTTCGAACTACCTACTTCGTGCCCCGTGTAGCCGTGCTGCACAGGGTTCGAACCAGCGGGGTTTTAAAAATGGTGGCTCCGCGCTTATGCAAATGAAGCCTGGGAAATTCAAATCTCGGGCTTCATTTGCAAGTGCGGTATGCCTACATTACCCTCCTAGTTCGAACTAGGAGGGTAGTGTAGACATACCCCCTCACTTGTCCCTGGTATGGGGAAAGCCAACCAGCATGCTGACTCCACTTGAGCAGAAGCCAAGAGCAAGATGAAACTGCCATTCAGGCACATAAGCCCCAAATAAAGAGCCACTTCCATCAGAGTTCACAGCGTTATCGTGGGGTTGCCGCAGTATTCTAGCTCTGGTCAAAAGTCCCCAATGGAAATCCTATGCTCCTGCTGCAGTGGTAACCCCAACTATACCCTGGTCTTCTTCCATGTCATCTCTGCCCCAACATCATGTGACTGCTGATCTTTGGTGCAAAAGACCTGACTTAGAGCAGGCTGATTCGCTGGGGTGCTGGCAAGGGGGGTGGAGGGATGCAGGAGCCAGTGCTAGAGGGAGCTGGCTTAAAAGCTGGGGGGTGGCAAGAGAGGCAGAGGCATAGCAGGGTAGGTCTAGACTCAGCAGCCCTGACTTGCTACTGCTCTAGGACCTACCCCCACTTCAGTTTAAACATAGGAGGAGCCAGGATGCCTACACCCAGCAGAACCCCTTATTGGCTAGTCACATACTCAGTACAATTGTGTACACAATACAACCCTTTAAACTGCAGAGCCGCAGCGGAACTCCTTATCAACTAATCATGTACTCAATGCAAACTGTATGGAGTACACTATTAGTCAGTTACCCACTTCTTAACATCCTCAATTCATAATTCATTTGGTGACTGACTCCAGGCATACACTAGGAATTTATATTCTTGAAAAACCCAAATCCAAATCCCATTCTTAAAACTTAGTAGTACTTTCTAGATGCCACTCACTAAAATGATCAGAAAGTTTTATAGGCTGCAGATCCACCAACAATAAAAACTGCTTAATCAAATTTGCCTTAATTTAATGATTAGTTTATTTAATATTATCATTAGTTTATGCTATGCCCATTTAAGACTGATATCTGATTAGGTGAAAATTCAGCTCTTTTCCATCAGAAAACCTGGATATTTCTGCTTTCCTTAATCTCTGTGTGAAGCAGAAGTGAAAGTAACTGTGTGCGCCCTGGTGCACAGCTCCGGCAAGAGCTGTCTGAGCTAAAGCAAAAGCCATCAGGGAGCTATTTAAAGAGCTGGCAGGGACCTGGGTTGCAATAAGACAGTGCCTGTAAGAAATTTTAAGTTACTTGCACTGCTAGTGTGAAGTTCATGTTCTATATATGGTGGGGAAGTAGGGTATCAAAACTGAGAATCGTCACATGGATAGGAGAGCAGAAGTTTGCCTTTGGATTGTAATTGTCTATCCTTTCATTTTCTGTAATAACTGATTATTTTCAGTTATCTTGTCTACCTTTATAGCAAGCATGTCATCCAAAGATTGAAATCATTTCTGAAGTGAGTGATGACAAGAACTCTGCATCAAAAGAAAACAAAGTCTCATCTTGGAATTCAATAACAGAAGAGATCCCAACAGCCATATTTTCAAATATATGTAAGATACCTGAAGATTGTCAAAGGGAAACCACAAGACACCTTGTAGAAGGCTTAGCAGAGCATTGGAGTCTAGAGAAAGACTTAGAGGCCAAAGTTAAACAAGTCAACCCTCTGAAACCATTGATACAAGAGATTATTGCTGAACCAATAGATGATATACTGACACCAGCAGCCTACAGTAATGTGGATGATCTAGCCCCAAAAGAAGTAGACAGCCAAGATGGTCACATTATACCCTCCAGTCCTGGTAAGATTATTCTAATAGAATTTTAAAGAAAGAAAAAAAGATTAACAAGAGGGAAATGGGAGAAAGATGGTGGCTGTTTGAAAAAAGAAGATTCTCCCATTATCACTGATCCCAAGATAGTTAGGACTGGGAGGAAGAAGGAACTGAGGAAATCTCCTAGTGCTCTCTTCTTCCCATTTTGTGTCTCACTGAGACCCTAATAGGATTAATGCAGAACTGGATGCAGAGACTTTACGGGCTGCAGCTCAGAGCCCTGAGCCAAGGGAGACCCTGCAAAAAGATCTCCCAGCCACTGTAAGTCCAGTGGTACAGCACAGGGCTCAGACAAGCTGCCAGCATGCTGTGGCCCCACACCACTCCCAGAAGTCTGCTGCTGGCATGTCTCTGTGGCCCTGATAGGTGGGAGGGAGAGATGGCTCCTCATGCTGACATTCCTTGAACGTTGACTCTGGCTATCAAGGAAGCTCCATGTGCTGGCCTCACCTGCAGGCACTGCCTCTGCAGCTCCCATTAGTTGGGGTTCCCGGCCAGTGGGAGCAGCCCAGATCCAGCCCACAAATACCCTGCACAAAATCTCCTCCCCAACCAGCAGTGCATGGAGCTTAGAGTCAATTGCCAGGATTGACTCTAAGTACCACGCACGCCTTGCAGAGTGGGGGCAGGGAGTGACAGACTTTGCATGCTCCCCTGACCCAGAGGCCAATCAGGTGTTCAGAACAGCTGGCGGTTCTCTCAGGAGGGGCAGGGCAAAGATTTCATTCACTTCCCCCACCCTTAGGCCTAACAGGGTCTATGGGCAGGGAAGCGCATAGGTGTCCTGGCCCCCCCTTTCCATCCAAGGCCTTTCTGAAAATTTAAAAAATTTCTGAAATGGCCCCCCAGCTAAAATTATTACCCACCCTTGCTGTAAGCTGTGCATTTGTGCGGCAGCCCAGGACAAATCAAATGCCACCCAACTGATTAGCAGGGAGCCCACATCTAGATTTTGTATTTCTATTGGTGGTGCACATAAACATTTATTCAACACGTGGATGGAAAAGATTAGCTGGAACATTGCCCCATCCCTTCACCTGAACCCCCTCCAGCAGCCTAAGCCCCTCTCCCTAGCTCCACCCCAGAGCCCAAACCTTTAGTCAGAGTCCTCATCTCCTCCTGCACCCCAACCCTCTGCCCAGCTCGGAGCCTCCTTCTGCATGCTGAACCCTTCATTTTTGGCCCCAACCCAGAGCCTAGAGGAAGCCCCAAGCCTCCACCTCCCACTATGGGATCGTAGGAAAGAGACTTTTATACAGGGACCCCACAAAATCTAATAGCCCCAGGCACACTGGAGAGTTAATCCAGCCCTGCTTACAGGTTGAGACATAAAAAATTATTCTGTGATTATTTCCATACAAATGTTCTTAGTCAGTTTTAATAGTTGGGATTTGTTTCTTTTTCCAGTACTGAAGATGATTAATCACAATTTCTCTTACCTTAATCCTTTAACAGAGAATAGCACTGAGGATAAAAAGGTGCAGGACCTGGCAGAGAATGGAGGATCCTCTCATGAACCACAAGATGACAACAAAGACACTGAGTATGGATTAGATTAAGTGATGAATAAAAATGAACTAAATGTGGAATATACCATCTTACCCACTATTTGTGATTACTCCCAAAATACCCAGAATAGCTATGTAAAACACCTGAAATTACACTTCTTGAGACGTCATTCATAAAATGACTGCCTTAATATATGAACTATGTGGTCTATCATGAAGCCAGCCAATCATGGCTAACATAACAGTATAGCTCCTAGAAACACTATATTAAAGTGCAACGTTTCTGTGAATGATGCCACACAAAACTGTGCCACATTGAACGTTGACTCATGGATATCTGGTTCCACCCCCAGAAAGGGTGGGGCTTCAGGTGGAAGGGATGGTTTTCTCTAGGTGCCACATGCCTCTGGCAGGAGAAGGAGAATGTGCACTCCCCAGTCCAATCAAAGCCTGAAGTGGGGTAGCACATGAAGTCTCCCCCCTCACCCACCTCTGCCCTGCCAGGGGAGTGTGATGCCTAGAGGGAACCACCAGCAGTTTTGAAAAGCTGGTGGTTCCCTCTAACCACCTTGCACACCTAAGGTGGGAGGAGATTTTGTGTACTCTCCTGCCCTGAGGCTAATCGAGACCCAGGAGCAGGGAAGAGTGCAAAACCATTCGCTGTTTAAAATAGCTGGTGACTACCTCTAGGCACCATGTGCCCCTGGCAGGGAAGGAGCCACCAGTTGCTTTGAACAGCGAATGCCTTCACACACTCCCCCGCCCCCAGGTCTCAATTGTCCTGGGGATGGGGGTGTGGCAGGGCAGCAGCAGGCCAGATCAAATGGTTTGGTGGGTCAGATCCAGCATGCGGGCCGTATCTTGCCCACCCCTGGTTTAAAGGTTTACTTGAGATTTCACATCTTTCTAAAAATAAGAAAGTTAAATGTTTATAACTCAGTACTTCATTTATTTCTGTAGCTTTAACCTAATGTGTTACACTTATTTTTATTTGGTCTAAGAAATCCTGTTATTAAGGTGATGCATTGTAAAGTTGTACAATTTCCATGTATGTATATTCCAGCAAATACTTTACCAAACATACTCACTGAAAATAAAGTTGGTTCACTTCTCATTAAGGTATGTTAATACTGTGAGCTAGTATATTCATAATGATATGCAAAAAGTGTGAAGAAATGCTATGTTCATGCATGCAAATTACGGGTGTACATTTCTGCATACAGAGATAGGGCCATTTGTATCTAACTTCTCAAAGAACTGTGATGAAGATGCATTCCCCACCCCTCACACGTTTATACATGGAACAGGTCTCAGTCCCCAGAGTTAAGACTTTCAGTTTAATTTAAAAATATTAAAACATTAAAATATTTCTTCTTTGGGTGATGTCCCCGTGGGTGCTCCACTGTAGGTGATGGGTCTTCCCCAGAGCCACAGATCAGAGACTTTTTCATAGCAGTTAGCAGTCGGGCCGCTCGTGCACAGTGAGCCTCTCGTTCTGGGGGCAATTTGACAGTTGAGCGCAGCCAGGCCCTCTCCCCTCAGTTCCTCTTCTACTGTCCTCCCTTGCAGACAGAGTTTTCCTGCCGCCTCAGGCACTTGTCTCCTCACAGTAATATCTTACTTTCTTGAGAACTTTTTTACCTCAGTCAATTACAGATCATTGTGTTATTTTATTACCACTTCAAAGGGAGAGGCTAAACAGCTGGGGAGAACATGCTGTTCCCTCAGCGCTAGCCACTTCAGCCACAGTGGCTTCTCTCTGCCCCAGCTGCTTTCACTTAAAAAAAAAAAAGAAAATATCTCAAAACCCTCTACCTACGAGAGTGCTGACAGCTGAACTAAGAGCCCCCTCAACCCCAACTGCCAACAGCTCTACAATGCAGGGGTTTAAGAAATGTAGAAGCTGCAGTGAACTCATTCCAGCTTTGGATGGGCATAGCTTCTGTATCGGATGTCTGGGGGATTCACACATCCCACAAAAATGCAAGCACTGTAAAAACCTGTCTGCCAGAGCAAGGAGGGACCAGGAGGTTAGGCTCCACATGTCCCTCATGGAGAAGGTGCTACAGCCTCCCGTAGAAAGTGCACAGGAGCAATGTGTACAAAACCCCAAGCACAGATCTGCATAACCTCAAGAACATCAGAGTAACAGGGTCTCTCTAGCCAGTTCCTTGCCACCTGATCCATCCCCCAGAATAACCAGGGGAGACGTGCCAACTGCCTCCAGCTCTGTGATGCTGAGGTCTGCCTTGGAATCACCCACCCCGACACCGAGCAGTGATATTGGGATCACTCTCCGCACTGGGGAAAGCGCCCAGGCAAACACCAGCGCCGAAGCAGGCTCCTCCACGTGCGGCACTGGCTAAGGAAGAGGAACTGCTAGTAAAGCAGTTCTGCAAAGGCTCGGCGCCGCCACTCAGCACAGCGACTTCTCCAGCACCTTCCCCACTACAGGCTCTCAACCTGCAGACAAGCGAGACGGGCTTTTAAAGAAACTCAGACTGCAGAGCACTCAGGGGGATAAATAGTGCTCAGAGACGTCCCTTCCCACTCCTGTCAAGGGAGCAGTCTCCGGCACCGTACCCTCCCTATTCACCACCACAATATGGGTGCTCAAGCTAGATAGATTACGATCAGAGGAGTGCATTCTTCTCTCAGCATTCATCTCCTATCCCATCTCTGCAGGGGCACTGCCATGCAGCTGCTGCTGCAGAGGCACTGGAAGGCACGAGGTGTACTCTTTGTTGAAAGTTCAAACGTGGTAACCCTAACATACAGTCTTCAAACAGCAAAAAATTATGCAACAAAAAAGGAAGTGTGAGTATGGGTGAAGCTATCTCTGGCTTACAAACTCTCCAGCCATTCCCACACAAAATACATGTATCAGTTCATTCTACATACTAGTCCCTGCATTCTAACCTTTGTAACACTGTACACAACAGCGTTGCCAGCACATGTATTGCCATAGCTGATGTTTTTCTTAAAGCTTCAGCATCTGGAGTCCTGTGGATATTTGAAAATTTTCCATTTGTTAAAGCAAATAAGTACCTAGTGCTCATGACTGCAGGCAAGAACAGCTGCCTTAGCCCCTTGAATCTGCAGGATGAAAAGAAAAGTAAGTTTCTGACTGTTTCTGAAAAGGAGAGACGCAGATGCTAACTCCTGTCTGCACAGAGTGGCAGTACTTCCTGGAAGGCCATTTCCTACAGGAAATGAAGTAGAGGCGCTTGCACCAGGTTAAGGCCACCAGCTACTGGAATGGAGGAATAGAAAAAATACTATAGTAAAGGTAGATTCTACTATATAAAAAGAAACCTTGACAATAACTTTACTATATGAAGCCTCAGCAGATTGTACAGTAATAGAACTTCATACACCCAATACTGAACTGCCCAGAGACTGCGCTGGCTGTTTACCGAACTCTCACAATTCAGACCTGCACCCCCTGTAGTCCCAGCCCTTGCCCTGAGCCCTTCCTCATACCCCCAACCTTGACTCCTGCACCCCCCACATATCCCCAGCCCCTGCTCCTCACCCCCAAGCTCCTGCTCTAACTCCTAGCTCCCCACATGCCTCCTTCCCTGAGGCTACATCTACACTGACAGCTTCTTGTTCTTGTGCAAAAACTCTTCCAGAAGAGACCATCTACACTGCCATGTGCTTTTGCGCAAGAGCATCCATGCCAGTGCAGATGCTCTCTTGCGCAAGAAAGCTCTAATGGCCATTTTAACCATAGGACTTTCTTGCACAAGAAATTCATGTTGCCTGTCTACACTGGCCTCTTGCGCAAGAACAGTCGTGCAAAAGGGCTTATTCCAGAGTGGGAGCATCAGCGTTCTGGCACAAGAAGCCCTGATTTCATACATTAGAATGTCAGTTTACTTGCTCAAGAACATGCAGCCAGTGTAGACAGGCAGCAAATTTTTGCGCAAGAGCGTCTGCTTTTGCACAAGATCGCACCAGTGTAGACACAGGCTGAGCCTCCCCCGCCCCCCCCCACACACTCCACCTCACACTTACTTTTCTTATAGGTATTGTTGTATTGCACCCCCCATCTCCCTGCCCTGAGCCCCCAGGGGTTGCAACACAACAGTGCCTGTAACTTGAGTTACTTTCACCCCTGGAACAGTTGCTCATAGGATACACAGGTGTCAGCCGACAGTCAGGGCAGTGTGTGTGTGTGTATGTTTCCGAGAAAAGGTTTAACGTCCGTGCCTTTACTGGTCCGTGCCTTTACTGCTAGGACCGGGGTCCCATCGCAGAGGGTGGCCAACAGGCCAACAGACGCCCCGTTATATAGGAAGAGCTTATTACATCTTAGATTTCAGCTGCTAGAATTTCATAATTCCTTCGCAGCGGGCAGCCTTGAGGAAAGACTGAAAGATGCCCCAGTGGGTCCTGTCACCTGGGAGTGACACAGATCCAAACGCCCAAGCTCTTCCTTATCTGTCCCTTTATGACCGGCTGAAGTTCTTTTAAATTGTGCTTGGTTCTGTTACAGCAACTGAAGGAGGCAGGTTAAAGCTTAAACAGTTACAGGTTTATTTGAGGAAGCTTATAAATCATATGGTTGCAATGGCTATTGTTTTATTTCTTTACTATTAGCGAAATATAGGTCTTAAAAATGGTTACAAAGAAGATAAAAATAGAAAAATGGAAATAATGGTACCAAGTAACAGCTTACTCTTTCTATGTGTACACTTAAGACAGAGGACCACATCCAGGTACCATTTTTACCCCCTTCTGTGCCTCTCGACTCCAGCATGTCAGGCCAGGGCCGGTCCCTCAATTCCTAGGAAAGACGAAAATACGAGGTGGGCGTCCCCATAGATCCTCGGGAGGTCAAACACCTAACCCGACCAGCAGGTAGAGGGTAGAATGACACTCAAAGTGAGTGTATGCTGGGCCCATCTTTTATACTCATGGGGTCACGTATTTCTCTTTCTTATCTGTAATGCCAATTGATGCTGGTCTGTCTGCTGTGAGACCAGTTCTTACAAGGGAGTTGTGAACTTAATTTACACTTGTAAGAGAGATTTGAGATGATTAAATTTTGAAGTACTGGACATTGTTTTCTCAGTGGGAAATTCCTCTCAGGGACTGTGTGTGTGTTCGAATCAACATAGGTGCCAGCCGGTGGCAGTCTCACATATCCTGATCTCTCCTCATATCTATGTTTCAGCTTCTCAGGATCAGATGAGCCAGCATAGACTATGCTGATTTTATTGCTCCCTCTCTGTCCTGTATGCTTCAGGAAGGCAAATAAGATGGATGATATGGAGGCAGGCTGTCTGGCCACAACAGGTGTACAAGTGGTCCTGGCAAGATGTTATTAGAATCAACTGGAAGAAGCCAGGTGATTCCTAAGGGCTGAAAATGGGGAAGCTACAGAAAGGAAGTTCGTGCCTGGGGCAGGCCGTGGAACAGGAAGGAAAGATGCTTGAGCAAAGGCTGGTGAGGCTTGTCTGCACGTGAAACACTGCAACATTTAATGCCAAGCCCGGAGTCTGTTGAGGCCCTTTCTTCAGGGATGTCAACCTTCAGAAACAGAACTCACACAGCAATACAACCATAGCACCCATGCAGCTCTGCCATGGAAGTGCTTCAGTGAAGCTACTTGCAGGAGGGTTTCTCCTCTTGGTGTAAGCAGTCCTGTTCTGGAGAGACAGCTGGTCAGCAGGTGAATTCTACCATCCATCTATCACTGTTTACATCAGGGGTGGGCAATAATTTTTGCCCGGGAGCCACTTCAAAAATTTTTGAAGTAGCCCCGGGACACATCAGAAGGGGTGGGGCCAAAACAAGAAGGGACTGGGCTACCCCACCCCCAGACCATGATTGGTCTGGGGATGGGGGAGCCCCTTTGCCCCCCTTCCAACTAGGCACCCATGCCCTGGAAGAAGCTTGGCATGCTCCCTTCGCCCCCAGGCTCTAATTGGCCTGGGGGCGGGGAGCAGCAGGGCCTCCGTGGGCTGGATCCAGCCCATGGAGGCCCTTTTCCCCACCCCTGGTCTACACTGAGGGTTAGGTCAGTTTGTATCAAACACACTGTGGATTTTTCACACTCTTGCCCAATGTAGTTACATCAGTCTAATTTCCTAGTGTAGACCTGGC